AGAGAGAGAGAGAGAGAGAGAGAGGAGAGAAAGGGAGAGAGAGAAAGAGGGGGGGGGGGGAAGAGGGAAGGGCGGGGAAGGGGAAGTGGTGGAAAAGAACAGGTATTTGAAGAGAGGAGGCGAGAAGGTGCCCAACACCGAATGAACATGGAATGAAGCCGGACGAGTTGGAGTTACACAGTCTCGAACACCATAGCTGCCTCGCAATGCTTCCGCCTTCCCACTACAAGTGGAACGAAAAAAGGCGCTACTCCAGTGTAAGTCATCTAATTGAACCATCCGCCCGGAGGAAGTGGCTCAATTACACCTGATGCGCTTTTAATGATCGGCTTTTATTTCGGCTGTTGTTTGAGTCGATCGGCAAACGGCCAGCTCTTCTGTTTAATGCCTGGGCCGGGCTTAATTCCCAAACATATTTCCGCTGGAGACACCAGCCTGTCGGTTCACTTTTACACACGCAGACCCACTACCTCCAACAGCTCGTGCACAAAACACAAAACACCTGGCACACCTGTACACAAAACACCTGATGTACACGCGGACCCACTACCTCCAACATAAAACACAAAACACCTGAACACCTGTACACAAAACACCTGATGCACACGCGGACCCACTACCTCCAACAGCTCACGCTCAAAACACAAAACACCTGAACACCTGTACGCAAAACACCTGATGCACACGCGGACCCACTACCTCCAACAGCTCGTGCACAAAACACAAAACATCTGAACATCTGTACACAAAACACCTGGTGCACACGCGGACCCATGACCTCCAACAGCACGCCTGCATATCTGCCGCCGCCCTGGAAGCCTGGAAGATGCATCAGGATGCTGTCATTCGACGGCCAAGATGAATGTCGTCCTGCATACATCTTGGCAATTCTTTCATCTGTCGCACGGATGCCAGGGCGTGTGACAGGTTAATCAGTCACACGCTCACTCACTCCAGGGCTGGTTGTCCTGCAAGTAAGTGAGCGTATTCAACACTGTCAAATAAGGTGACACAAAACGAACTTTGACTGTCGGCGCGCTGAAAAGCCGCCATTGCCGTCACGCCGGTCAAACCATGGCACGTCCTTCCGGAGGCATCCTCGCGTTCACCTCTCTGCATCTTGCCGAGTCTCCCGCCCGGTCACCTTCGGTGTCAGCCACACTGACCTCCTGACCTCTTGGCCTTGCCCACCACCGCCAGCGCCGGCGGGGCGCTTTTGCGACGCCCCCGGCGTCGCCCCGGGCGATATCCCGCTGACCTCTTGACCTCTGGGGGAGCGTCCGGCCGATATTAATTAGAAAGTTGACGGGGCGCTGCGGGGACCGCGCCACATAATTCAATCACACGTCGGACAGGGGGCCGGACAAAGGCGTCTCCAGGAGAGCTATTCAGTGGCGTGTCCGGGGTGGCGGGGCAGCGCCGGTTCCCGGTGGCGGAATAGTGACCTGACGTAAATGCAGACGAATTCTGGATATGGAAATCTAGTCCCTCATATTCAAAATAAGTCACGTCAGGGCGTAGCCAGTCTCTTCAGTATGTTTGCTATTCCTCATTATTTTGCTATATTGCTATTGCTTCGGCTATTTTGTATTCGTATGCAGGCGCATGTTACGAAGGAAGGGATGCATTGGTGTGGTTTGAATACCAGATATCACGAGGGTCTCCTCAGGGTCCCCCCAATGTACCGGATGTTAGGCCTGTTAACGCTTAAGGGATGCATTGGTGTGGTTTGAATACCAGATATCGCGAGGGTCTCCTCAGGGTCTCCCCAATGTACCGGATGTTAGGCCTGTTAACGCTTAAGGGATGCGTTGGTGTGGTTTGAATACCAGATATCGCGAGAGTCTCCTCAGGGTCTCCCCAATGTACCGGATGTTAGGCCTGTTAACGCTTAAGCAAAGTCAAGTATCTTATGCCTTCCGAGAGTAATGGCTGGGTGGTTAGTGCCTAGACTCCTACGCGGGCGTCCCGGGTTCGGATCCCGGTTGTGCCATGGCGCCTGGGCGCCGGTATGACCTCCGCAGTTGCTGGTGCTCCATGAAGCACCACTCAACGACGGGCTTCGAAGGTTTTCTTTTTTTAAATCTTAAAATATCGGTTTCTTTCGGCACAGGTGATTGCATCGCCGTACTGACGCATTTTCGTGATCCGCAAAAGTTTCAAATTCCTCCTCTGAAATGCAGGCTCTTAACGACATGCGCCAAGCACATGACCTTGACCTCGCTGCCCCGACCCGGCGTCAGCTGACGGCTATCAGCTGGCGCTCTCCGCAGACGCGCCAGGAATGTCTGCTCGTCGCCGTTGGGTGTCTGACCGCTGTTGCGTGTGTCAGATTATACAGATGAAAAACAGACTGCTGCGTTAACTAGGGTACGCGCTTTCGGGGAGCGGGAGACCCGACGGCCAGATGAAAACGCCGTCTGGTTAGGTATGTGCGTGCATGACGGGGGGGGGGGGGGGTGCAGAGGGGGCAATTATACCGAGGTTAGATATGTGGCGGAATTCAAATTGTGGGGAGTGAGACGAGTGCCATTTGTTTCTGTTGGAACCGGGTATATGGTCGGTCTTCCCTCGAGCTTGAGGAAGATCTCTGAATAGCAAGCCATTGTTGGAGCTGTGTGAGCCTGGGGAGGGGGGAGTCCTGTGTCGCTCTAAGGCCTACCCATCATCTCTGTGTCCACTACTACTTGCCTCACCCTATTTAATCTCAGGACGAGTCGATGACGAGGCCGTTGAAAGCACTACAAGCAGCGCGCAATTTTTTCTTCAAATACTGGCTGTTGCATCCCCTCCCTCTCCCCTCTCTCATTAATTTGATGAACAGCCACCCCAGTATGGGTAACGTGCCAGTTATGCATAAGGAGACAGAGCAATTATCTGCGCCTTCCGAAACTCCATTTTTGTCTGATTTTCCAATGTTTGTCTTGTAATATGATCCTCAATGTTGTTTTTGTGCATGTACCTGTTTTCTGTTCTAATTTTCATGACCTGGTTTGACATATTTTAAGTCAAAACGAAGGACATATGATGCGTGTGACAAGCCTCACCCACCATCGTTTGCTTCATTGCATCCTGCTGAGTTTTACGGTAACAGGACTGGTCCATGTCCACATCCATGACATGTTTCCAAAACATCTATGGTGTTTGGGACCTGATTATTATGGTAACATACCTTCTCTTAGCTGAATCCCGAGTTCGCTACGGAAGGACGGGCTGCGTGTCAGAATTATGGTTAAAAAAGGATGCAACTACCTAGCATTCTGTGTCTCTGCGTGCAGTCTCCCGCGGCCCCGCCGCGGTACCACATACGCCTCCCCCTCCCCGCCCCTCGCCCCAATTATCTGTCGGCCGGCACTGCCGGCGCCGCATAATTTGTGTGATGGAGAGAGCGCTCAGCTGAGTTACTCGGGACTCGGAGCTGATCAGACCCAGCCGTGACTCTGGGCTGATCAGACCCAGCCGTGACTCCGGGCTGATCGGACCCATCCGTGACTCCGAGCTGATCAGACCCAGCCGTGACTCCGGGCTGATCAGACCCATCCGTGACTCCGAGCTGATCAGACCCAGCCGTGACTCCGGGCTGATCAGGCCCAGCCGTGACTCCGGGCTGATCAGACCCAGCCGTAACTCCGAGCTGATCAGACCCAGCCGTGACTCCGAGCTGATCAGACCCAGCCGTGACTCCGGGCTGATCAGTCCCAGCCGTGACTCCGAGCTGATCAGACCCATCCGTGACTCCGAGCTGATCAGACCCATCCGTGACTCCGAGCTGATCAGACCCATCCGTGACTCCGAGCTGATCAGACCCAGCCGTGACTCCGAGCTGATCAGTCCCAGCCGTGACTCCGGGCTCATCAGGCCCAGTCGTGACTCCGGGCTGATCAGACCCAGCCGCGACTCCGGGCTGATCAGACCCAGCCGTGACTCCGAGCTGATCAGACCCAGCCGTGACTCCGGGCTGATCAGACCTACCCGTGACTCTAGGCTGATCAGACCCAGCCGTGACTCCGGGCTGATGAGACCCAGCCGCGACTCTGGACTAATCAGGCCCAGCCGTGACTCCGGGCTGATCAGGCCCAGCCGTGACTCTAGGCCGATCAGACCCAGCCGTGACTCCGGGCTGATCAGGCCCAGCCGTGACTCCGGGCTGATCAGGCCCAGTCGTGACTCCCGACTGATCAGTCCCAGCCGTGACTCCGAGCTGATCAGGCCCAGTCGTGACTCCGGGCTGATCGGACCCAGCCGCGACTCTGGACTGATCAGGCCCAGCCGTGACTCTAGGCTGATCAGACCCATCCGTGACTCCGGGCTGGTCAGTCCCAGTCGTGACTCCGGGCTGATCAGGCCAAGCCGTGACTCTAGGCTGGTCAGGCCCGGTCGTGACTCGAAGCTGATTAGGCCCAGCCGTGACTCCGGGCTGATCAGTCCCAGCCGTGACTCCGGGCTGATCAGTCCCAGCCGGGCCCCGAGCCGTCGGCTCACGCTGGAGCGGGCATGCTGCGGCTACGGGGAGCGGTATATCTTGTCGAAAGCCGCTGGATGCTCCAGCAGAAATTTGGGACCTTGTGTCGATGTTTCCGAGCGCCTCCGTAGACTTCGTGTCGCAGCCTGAAGTACTGGCTGTGCGGGATTGGGAGCACCGAAGCGTGTAATGCAATGTCATGGGCGGCAATGTGGAAAGCGTTGTTAATGACGTCAAGTGATACATGGAGGCTTCATAAATTAATACCAAGATGGTTTAAGCAGTGGCTCATGCAACCGTTTGGCGCGAGAACCTAACAATTAGGTTTTTCCTTGCGGAATGCTTCGGGATGCTGCCGCGGGTTTTGGGAAAAATTTTGCGGATATAGTAGGAAGGTGGAGACAATTGCGCAGGCCAAGTACATCTAGATTAATCATCTATCATCATCTATCAGATACAAACTCTGTTAACGTACGCAGAGGAAGGCTATCGCAGAGGCACGTGCCATTCAAACAGAACATCACCGCACCAAGGGTGCGAAATCCGTGCGCCTGCTCACCTGTTCTTGAGCCTATTTTGGGAGCCGCTGTTTTTGGAATGCTGCAACGCATCCCGTGTGACTGCTTGAATTCGAAAAAAATCGCCTTAATTTCGGCCGGAAATATCCGCAATCAATAAAGCACATTGTGCCCAGCTATTAAGGCATGTCTCCACGCCTTATGCAGATAATTACTTTTTTCTTATGTCGATAGTTCTTGGAACGGCATGTGCCAAATCATGCCACTCTCATTGCTTCTCTAATTATTACGGAATTGGCTTGATCGGGGCTCAATTTGTATTGGGTCTACAGACGTCAATATTCAGCGATATCAAAGGAACCGCTAAGCTTTTCAGTGTCCTTAATTGTCTTTTGACGTGCGCGATGTGAATTGGCTGACAAATGTGGCAACACAGTGGCTGACACATTGGTCATGAACTAGTCCAAGGATGTTTGACTGCAAGGGAGGTTGATGGCGGTGAAAGTAATAGACTAAAAAACTAACAACTACCTGGGCTGAAATTCTGTCCTAAATCATCTAGCGTGCATGGCCGCAGCATTGTATATCGTCAAAAGCACGGTAAAAGTCTACTTGATATAAGCAATAACGTACTTAAGCTCCTGGTTCTTCAGCATAATGAGCTCCAGCCCTTAACATAATCGAATTTTCAAGTATCAGTCCCTTCTGGTTAAAGCAAACATTGGCATGTAGTGTGGCAATGCTCGACATTGCAAAAGGCATCTATGGTGACATGTGAATCATGATCATTTCGCTGTCATTAAAAACGTTTAGATTCTCTTTTCAACAGTTGACGCGCGACTCGAAGCCAGCTGATTCGAGGTCAGCTGACTTGAAGTCAGCTGATTTGAAGTCAGCTGTTAAAGTGCATTTAACAATCTGCCTTGCTTAGATTGACAACACAATATAATGATTCCACGAGAAAGCTAAAGCAACTAATTTTGAATCAATCAGGACATGACCTGGACTGTAGTAACTCAACCAGCATATGGAGGGCGGTGAAGTGACGTCATTTGACCACCAGCGTCCGCTGAGAACACTCCACAACTCAAAGCGCCAGGTCAGCCAGAGGCTAGCCGTCTCGCATTTCACAACAGGTCTCGTCCGAGTCCATTATTTCGTTCTGAGATACCAAATCTATGTGATTTGCATTTGCGCAGCCCACCAGCGCCGGTCGGTCTGAGTGTGTTAGCATAATGTCTTCACTTATCTCCCGGACGCGACAGGACCAGCTCGCACATGTGGTGGCCTGCCGCAATGACTGCGGAGACTGCAAGGATTGTTTCATCACTGTCGATGTTGCATTTGGATGCATGCATATTATTTACGTAGGTTGCATTATGGAGGCAAGGGACGAAGCTGGCAGGGTGTTGGAGTTCGATGTGTGAGATCCCAGTGGGAAGCTCCCGTGCTGCCAAAATATTGTGATTGACCCCGATAACTATTGACACAAAAGGCGTGGATACCAAAAGTATGACAGGTACGCAATTGGACGAAGCATGCCATGGTAATGAGAGACATGGTAGATCAGGACAACTGGTGTCGACGACATCTTAGCCTGAGACCGTTTTGTCCTTTCTTTCCTAAATCATTCTGCTTTCCCCTTTTTTTCTATGCCACCGCGTCCTGCGTTCCTGTCAACTACAACGCAAAATATGGCAGCGAAGGTCATTTTGTGCTTAAGACTTAAGTCGTTGCCGATATACACAATTTTGTCGACAAAACACATTCATCGTCTCAATCTCGACACTGTTTGGCGGCTGAGACACAACGCCCTGAAATTCCACGTAACTCCTTTCAACAACACAACCTTGGGAGATGGCTTATATTAAACTTGCACGTTCACTATCCGTTTTACGAGAAAACGAGTTGAGCACGTGCACCACATTCCACCCTTGCGATATTTATGGAAACCGGTATAAAAGCCGCAGAGGTTACGCAATGACCCCCTAGGTGTCATATCGACAACAGTCTCACCTGTTTCGCGATAGCTAAACTCTCCATAGTTCACCAGCGACTGCAAATTGGCTGCTTCTACCGGTTGTCGGCGCTGAAGGCCCTATTCACCAGCCGTTCCACCGGTGCTGGAGTACGTCTACAGCACCATTGAGTTGTCCGAGACCACCCGGCCGAGGCTTCATCAGTATTCTGATGGTGGCCGCCGTATCAGCATTACACTAGCACCCCATTACGGCATGGTTATCGTGTCAGTAGAGGGCACCTGCAGCTCGTAAATGCCAGTCGAATCGATTCCCACGGCACGGATGGCCGGAGCAGCGCAGCAGGCGTGATGCAGTGTTGTAGGGTTACGTGGTGCTTGTGCAAGTGCTTTCCCACTGGGGTGTGCCTAATGTTTATTTGACGGCGTCAGCACGTTTGTTTAATTTCATTTGGAAGGGTCAGCAGGTGTGCTTTTTAATCACTGGTGTCGGCCGTGACCATGGCTAGTAAGCCGCTCGGTGGTGTCAGCATGCATGCATGGTGTCGGGCTGCTGGTGTCATCTCTTTTCTATTGGGATATTCAGGTATCTCCATCAGGCGTCAGGAGGGGCATCATTGTTTACACGGCCTTAATAGTGTAATAGTACACTAGTAATAGTACACCGACTGGTGTACTGCCGCCAGCGTTCACGCTCGCAAACTCAGGGAGCGATGACGTTGGCATTTGCATCTAGCCTTAGAGAGCACACCCGCAGTGTCGAGTAAGCAAACACGGAATATCTAGTAATATCTAGTAACATCCAGTGACACCTGGAACACCCGGTGTACAGAAATCAAACGCGGAATATATTGTAATGTCTAGTAATATCCAGAATACTCGGTGCGAGCGGAAGCACCGTTCCCTGTCGCATTGGCGCACAGACCGCGTTCCACTGGAAGAGTCTGGCACGGGGCGGTCGCATCATGACCTTGATGGCTCGCTAAGGGGGCGGCCGTATCATGACCTTGGCGGCTCGCTAAGGGGGCCATATCATGACCTTGAAGGGTCGTTAAGGATCCTGCGGCACTGGTGGCCCGGCGTCGAGGGCGGCCAATAACACGGCCATAAACATAACGCTGCTACCGACGCAGGCGTCTGTCCAGTAAAACACGGGTCGCTTAGAGGGCGAGCAAGTGAACGTTACCGTGGCGAGGTTTGTTGGGCGATGCTTTGTTCAGTGCCTTGCCGCTGGTGTGCGAGCTCCCAGCCATTTGTTTGTGGGGACGGGTCGATGGCGGGTAAATAAAACTCTTTTGCGTTTGTCAGATGTGGAAAACTCATGCAATGTCTAACGAATCGAAACGAAGAGAGAATAAAAAATCAGCTGCGCCCAGATCAACCAATCAGCAGCTTAGATGACCTCATTCTTACATTTGCAACACAATGCCGTAATTTACTTAATTGCGTGCAATCACTGGCAGGTATCCGAAAGCACTTAGACCGCGACATCAACCATAAACAATGCTGATCATCTTCCTCCTTTCTGATACCCCGCAACGGCCCCGTCCATTACAGACCTAATCCACACAGGGGTGGCCCAACGCCCACCTAGCCCTGGGTGCGCCACTGCGCCACCCTGGGTGCGCCACTGTCCCCCGTGTTCATCTCTGCTTCCGCACGTCGAGACAGACGTCTCCATTAGGCGGACACGGACCCGGCGCCCGCCCGACCGGAGATAATTCAATCATCGCCCACGCCGCCGCCAGCTGGCCGTAATGGTGTCATCCGCGCAGAAGGGGGTACCCCAGGCCGTCAACAACGGTCGGTGCGTGACCTCTGCTTCCGGTGGGGTCAGCGCCCCGGGCGGGAGGAGGCGCGGCGCGGCCCGCGGGTGTTGACTGTCTAAAGAACTAATGGTTTTGAAGGTAATGGTTGTTTAGAGGTGTGATGTTAGAGACGGGTGGCGGGAGGGTTCGTTGGGGCAGTCAGCAAGCACTTCCGTTTGACCCGGGGACGAATGTGGGCCGATGAGGGCGGCGAGGTGAGGACCGCTTGGGCGTGGGAAGCGTCAATGATAACACACATATCTTTTCCAAAAATTGCGCTGGGCTTAAGGGTATCCTTTTCTTTAATCGGTCAGTGGGCGGGGACTGGGCCAATATAGTTGGCCTTGCCTACACCCAAGTCCTGATTTCTCCCTGGATTTCGGCCACTTTAAGTTGCGCCTCTGCCGTCAAAATTAAAACAAGAATTTACACATGTGATCGGTTCAAGCATTGTTTTGATGTTGAGGCATGCCTTCCTATTTGAAGCCGATGTGATAGTGGTAATGATGATATATGGTGGTAATCTTAAT